GTGGCGGAGCTGCGTTGCCTGGCTAACAGATGCTAAGCTAGCTACTGCTGCTTTGTCTACACGCTCCCAGTGGGGCTGTGCCACATAACACTGCCAATGTCTGGCAACACGCTCCTCTAACGGGGCTGTGCAGCTTTTCCTCACCGAGCGACGACACAATTTCAATGACTTTCCTAACTATACGAGAATTTACAAAAACGTCTAGTGCCCTCTCTACCGTCCTCTGAGCATCCACGTATTGTCCGTTTAGCACCTCCTCGGATCACCTCTCAGCATTTTAGAACTAAAAGGAAGCCGCGCTTAACAAAGATCAACGCTGAACGATCACACTGGGCATTCGTCGGAATGTTTTGTTTTGTCATGTTTAATGTATTTAGTTACAAATGCAGGAGGATTAAAATGATTGACGGATTGAATTATACACGTCAGGGGCAGTCGCGGCTTTTATTGATCAATGGACCTTCATTGTGTGTGTGTGTGGTGGCGGTGATACTGTATCAGGTGTCAAAAAACAGAAAGGGGGGGGAAACGTCTGTGTTTGTTTGCAGGAATTGAGGGGCAACGATCGTGAGCTCCCCTCACACAGGATGTGATGACATCGGCGGAAGACACGCGCGCGCACTTATGGAAAGGAGCAGGAGAAAAGAGGAAAGTCAAGAAGCGGATCTTCAGTCCTTGCTCGAGAATGCCACTTTTCAGCTTTTGCTTGTCTTTGTTTGACTTTTTGTAATCATTATCCTATAGCTGGTGAAATGTGACAAAGTCATTCATTGACTAAATGGGACGCATGTCAACCCTTTCGGATTTTGAGAAAAAGTACCAAAGGGTTCAACCCACAACAACACCTACATAGCCCCCACATAAGCGCCCCGCTTAGCGCTCACTTCAGCGCCCGCTTTAGCGTCTGCTTAGCGCTCGCTTGACTGACAAGACTCACCTGCGGTGCGAGTTCCTGTTGCTATTGACATGACCCCGTCCGGAGCAGCCGGGGGTCGGGCACTTTAAAACATTCTCATACATGGCAAGGACTTGACAGGAGAAGGTGAGAGAGACAACGAGGGTTAGACAGGAGCAGACAGGAAAGTTACCAGGAAACTCCCGTCGCCAAAGGCCGAGCATGCATTAGTAGCATCCCGCAATGAACAAAGGTGATAACGTGCACATTCGGTCTTCTTGCTACACAGGCGAACGCATGCAATCATTGGGAAACAATCGTCAGGCGTGAGTGAATGTGAACCAAGGCCGTAAAATCAATTTTTTTTTGGTGTCGGGTGTTACAGATGAGTCAAGGCGAACTCATAGAAATCAGCAGCAAGCGATACTGTAAAAGGGGCATCGCATCTTCAGCAATGAATGACTCTGCGGTCACTTTCATTTCACCAGAGCCAAAAGCGAAAGCAGATGTCACGAATGTGATGAGGAGGGAGGAAAACGACGACTGGGATGTAAAAACATGTCGGAGGTAAAATAAAGAGAAGGAAAAAAAGCAGACTTACGGCAACAAAAATTCGTATCAAGAATTAAGTGTATCCATTTTGTGCTGTTTACCGGATTCGGTTGTATTGCAACAATTATCTTGCCAAGTTAGCCCAAACATACATCCTTGAGCCACACGCATTGATGTTAGAAACCGGTGGTCAGTTTTAACCCTTTCAGGGAGAGCAGTTACTACAGTGGACAGCTTATCATGTTATCCGGTTACATTATTGGTGCATGAAAGGGTTAAAGGAAAAAAAAAAAAAAGACCTGCAGTGCAACACAACAAACATGCAGAATGGATGATAAAAATGAAGGTGGCACATGTTTGGCGTTGCTTCCGACAAGTCATCTGAAAGTCTCATTCGTCTCGTCACATGATCGGTTCAGTGATTTTACAGTGAGGACAAAAAAAAAAAAAAAAAATGGATCTGTTTTGGCAACAAGCAGAGTATCCGTGAATTATCATAGCGAAGCTAATGCTAATGAACACATTTGGTCACGCCGAGTCAGATGACTTGTTTGCGGAGAGTCAAGTGCGTTGTGGCGTGTCGAGACTTACTCTCGGGAGGGACGCGGTCTTTGTGAGGACAGCCGGACAGGCTGCGGTGGTGTGGGTACAGACCCGTCACGTGACCCGTGCCGTCGCAGCCCGGCGTCGGGCACTTGCTTTCCTTCTTCTCCCCCCGTGAAGACTCTGAACAAGTGCAACGGGATTGAAATCACAAGTCCACGCAATTTGGTTCTCCGCGTGTGCGTGCGTGTTACCTTTGGGGTAGTAGGCCCTCTTCATTGCGTCGTGGTGCATCCTGGACTTGCGCTCCTCGCCCGTAGCCGTCCTGTGCTCCCCGTGTCCGCGGTGGTGATGGTGATGGTGGTGATGACGATGGTGGCGGTGGTGGTCCCGTCTGGGGTGCTTGTGCTCCGGGACCAGGCGGTCCCTCATGACTTTGGCGCGTTTCGACTCCAGCGCGATGGCTTTCTCCAGCAGCGAGAGGTTCCCCTTGGCCATGTCGAAGGTGTCGTCGGACCGCTCCGAGGCCACCGACGTGGTGTCCTCGTCGCACTCCTGACCGCAGCCGGCGGGGTAACCGCGCGACGCCGGGCTCAGCTGCTCCTCCAGCTTCAGCAGGTTCACCATGTCGGAGAAGCTGCGCTCCGGTGGGCCGCCGTCGTCCTGACAAACCGGCTGGCAGGCGTCGTACCTGAAAGGAACGGAGAAAGTAGGAACAAGAAATAAATGACATACGTTTCAAGATAATTGTGAAAAGGTGCAAAGACTGAGAACATACAGTGAAATTCCTCTACAACGAAACCTACATGGGTGAAAATACCCCCTAGTGTGAAAAAATGTTCATGCATTAACACCATTCCCACTCTCCTGCCCCCCATACAACGAAAAAAAAAACCCTGTTGCGTTATATGAAATCTTTTTCTCTGCTCTTGCCTCGCGATGAGCTTCACGAAAATGAAGTCTAACCCAACAGCGACCTCTACTGCTTCGTTCGGAAACGGCAACAGCAACCACCACACTGGTTTACACATGCGCAGTAGTCCAGGAAGTATTTGGTATTGTTAGTTTCAGACGCAGCAAGAATGTTGCATTGCTAAAATGGCTACAAAACGGACCTTTGGACGTTAAGCAGCTAAGACAAGAAGAGCTCTGAAGCTGGAAGAGAGGGGAAAAGTGATCAAAATGAAAGACGGAGGAAGCAAAATAATTTGCGAAATTTGCGAATTTGCGAATTTAAATTTAAAGAGTACACATTCGTTTGTGTGTGTGTTTACATGAGATCAAATTGCTACAGTGAAAAACCCCCCTTGTGAAAAATTTCTTGCTGCAAACATGATTTCGTTGTAGAGGAGTTTCACTGTAGCATGAAAACCTTTTTTACCGTTTGAGTTTTAGCGATTTCCTGATCGATCAAATCTCCCCGCGATGATCGCATGAGTGCCCGCGTACCTGTTGAGGTGCGGCTCCCCCTGCTGGTCGGCGTGGTTGTGCAGTTGGTGGTGGTGGTGGTGGTGGTGTTGCTGCGGGCGATCGGCCGGGTGCGTCTCGCTGAGTTTGCGGGCCAGGTCGAAGCACTGATTCCTCAGACACTCCAGACTACTGAGACACACTTCTTCCTCGCTCCCCTCGGCGTGGCCGCCGTTGCCGCCGAGGCCGGGCTGCCCGTTGAGGCCGATGTCGGGGAATCCGTCGTCGGGCAGCATGGCGCCGTGTCCCTGCGCCAGCAGCTTGAGCGAATCCACCGTCTCCCTGACCACGTCGCTGTCCAGGTCCACGCTGAGGTCAGCCTTCCTGTCGCCGCGCTCGCTGCCGTCTTCATCCTCGTCGTTCTCCTCGTCGTCGTCGCCGCTGTTGGAGGAGTTGCTGTTCATCTCTGACTCTGTCAGGGCCTGGTAGGCTGCATCTTCCGCGATCTTGCCCAGGTTGAGCAGGGACTTAGCCACTAGCTCGTCATAGTTCTCGAACTCATCGCAGGGGCCGGGACCGAGACTGAGACCAGGACCGGAGCCAGGGCAAAGGCCAGAACCTGGACCGGAACCTGTGACGCAGCTGTGGTTGTTGTTATCATCCTTATGGAGCGGAATAAGCTTTGATTGTCCACTTGGTTGGTAGTCAACTGTCAGGAAGGGAAAAAGGAAAAAGTTTCCAGATGAAATGTGATGTGCTTCACACGTTGCTGAACCAAAACCATGACAGTGAGCGGCGACCAATCCGTAGTTTGTCTATTAAGAATCAAAGAAGTCAAAACTGGAACTCACCCTGCTGATGGCTGAGCTCCTCCACCTGGTCGCATCCTGGTACCGGCGTGGCGGTATCCTCTTCGGGCTGCTCCTCTTCTTCCTCCTCCATGTCATCAGAGAACTCCTCCTCCTCTTCCTCCTCCTCCTCCTCTTCCTCTTCTTCCTCGTCGGCCTTCTTGCCTTCTTCCTCGTCCTCCTCCATGACTTCCCCTCGCTCCCTTTCCTCTAAGACGGCCTCGTTGTAGTTGGCATCTTCGTCCTCCAAGTTGTCCTCTAACTCGTCGCCCTCCTCGTCGTCCTCGCCCAGGCAGTCGCCGCTGAAGGGTCTCCGTTTGACGGGCGGCTCCAGCGGCTGCTTTTCGAGCACCTTCCTCTTCTTGGCCAGCGGGCATCCGTACACGCTGAGGAGGCGACGGCGTCAAAGCATCAAAGTTTTTTGGGGAATACAAACATATAATTTTCAAGTCACCTGACCACCTGACCCTTCTAAATAAAAGGCTTACGGAAGATTTGATTTTGGAAATATGGGACAAAGACTCTTCCACTAACTCCGTGGAAGACGTGCCGCGTTACGTTGCCTCAAGAGTGAATGTTACAATGTGAAAATGATGTTCTGTTTCTCAGCTGGAATTATTTGACACGTTTTGCAAAAATAGTTGCGACAGGGGTGGATAAAGTTGCAAAATAAATTATACAGCAAATGGCTAAGTTGGTCAAACCGACTGTACTTTTGTAAATCGGACCCTCTCCCGTTTTCAGTCAAAGCGGAACACGCCAATGAGGGACCAACTTTCAGTGACAGTGGCGGCTTGAGTTTTGCGAATATGTGCCGCCATGTAGGTGATTTTTTTTTTTTTTTTTTTTTTTGCTTTGGCTTGCGAGCGTAAACTTGATGAACTCCACTCTTGACTTCACGCCAAGCAGCAATTTGGCAGATGCAACAACACATGTGGACAGAAAAATAAATAAATAAAGACTACTCAAAAGATACATCTTCTTTATCCTCTGCAAAGAACCACTAAGATTACTGCTGAGGAGGATCTCATCTATCTTACGCGGGCACGAGATGTCATTTCCATTCCTTTCAACGGGGAAGGAATGATTATTTGCGATATCGTGGCACCGGCATCTTTTTCAAAAAAGAAACGAAAACCAAGTCAAGTAATAATGACGCTGTTTCAAGCAAGGGCCCCTCATTTACACAAATCCCATAATAGTCATTAAGTGATGGCAAAACTCAGCTTTAATTGCTCCAAAACAGGCAGCGCAATTAAAGCCGACGCTAGTGTGGATTTGAGCAAATCAATTAGGCCATTTCCATACGAAAGAGCTTCGTTGCTGTTTGGGATGCAAATGCGGGAGGGCGGTAAACGCTGCCGCTCTGCCTTTTGGCATATTAAAAACAGCTTTGCAAAGAAAATATTAACATCAATAATATTAATAATAAGAAGAAAAAGAATGAGAACAAGACTAATAAGAATGTCAATGTTTGATTCTCATCCTTGGCAAGGTGTTATTGTTTACTGGACTGTTTATTGACAACAAAAAAAATATGGAAATGTAACCCCCGGGGTGACAAACAAGGAACTACTGTCGAAAATAAAATAATGATAATATGCTGTGCATCTCGAGAAAGAGGATGAATAAGTGAGTCATGAATTGTGGCCTCATCCAGGAGTTTGTTTCTGTTCCGTTTGATGTGGGTGTCCCTAATGAAGTGACCACTGAGTGTGGACAAACATCTGGAAATCGGCATTTGCGTCTGGATGAACGCTCGCAGAGACAAAGACATTGTAGTGTGTGTGTGTGTGTGTGTGTGTGTGTGTGTGTGTGTGTATATGCAATCATTTGTGTTGTGACCTTGGCCACCTCACTGTCTCCCGCCAATTAAAATTCCAGCAGTAATTAAAGCAGATCAGAAACGAGGGAACGCTGCAAGGGCGAGCGGCTGCACATGGTAATTAGGTGGCGTGTGTGTGCAGGCGCGTGTGTGTGTGTGTGTGTGTGTGTCTGTGTGAGACGCTGATGGATTTCTCAAGCAATCTTGTGTGATTGATTCGCGTGTACGGAATTGGATTACGCGTTGTGTTGAAGCGATGGCGTCATTAGCAGGTTGCTACGCAAGTACAGTTTGACTCTATTGATTCGGGGGATGCTGAATGTTAATGTAGCATCGCGTATAGCTTGGGGCTGATAGCTTCTTCTCACAGACACACGCACACAGGCATACACGCACGCACGCTGCTCAGAGTAGTATTTAAAATCAATGTGGCAGCTTTGCCAGCTCAGAGCATCGGCTCTGTTGCCAGGGTTACCGGTGATCCGCTGTACCTTCGGAAACGCACGCGAGGGGAACACCTGGCGCGTGCCAAAGCGTCATCGCTTTTATGACTCCTCGTTACGTTGAGGCTATCGTACGGAGTTGCAAGGACCAACAAGAGATTTTGCGACCTGTGCGGGACCTGCGTGCCAATTCTGAACTAATTTCATGTAGTCGTCGACGAATTGAGTCCTCCCCAAAAAATATGAATTAAAATGCCATTCATCTGTTCCAGCCCACCATTTTTTGTGATGCATTTTTAGTGACAACAACTTGCCCTGTGTTGTATAAAAACCCGAAAAAGAGAATGTAAAGGAGTGGTTTTATAAAAAGTGTAATTACGGTGGTATTACGGTGGTATTTGTGTGTTGAATATGCGCCTTCAAGGCGGCGTGACGTGTGAGTGTTAGGATGTGAATTGTGGCCTACAGCAGCTCCTTGCAGGTGTTCTCGTTTTGTCCCGTTCAATAAACGGATGACAGTGCAGCGGCAACTGCAGCGTATCTGAAGCTCAAAATCTCAAATAGCTCAAATTTCAGCAGGCAACGCAAAGTAAAAGATCCACCAAGTGACGGCCCGTAACTCAACAAACTTGGAAAAAAAAAATCACAGATAATGATATTCGGTGGGGGGACAGAATGATTCCATTGGAGGTATGCTGAGGCTAGACTTGACGAGATCGTCGCCCCCGGCAATGCTGGGTATCGACTCATCGCCATGGCAACCGTTGTGCGGCAAAAAAAAAAAAAGGGGCGCGAGGGCGGGTTAGTAAGGCGGACGAACGAGACGCGAGGGTGTAAGCCAGGCGAGGGTGCGGATTGCTGGGCTCGCTGTTGCCATGGCAAGAGGGTGGCCGCATCCCTCCCAGTCGTCGTACTGCAGCATGCACACGGCCCTGTCGCCATGGCGACCGCCTCCGGAGTGCAGCGGAGGTAAAGCCGGGCAGATGCCAAAGGTACACAGACTGAGAGGCCGAGAGAGAGAGGGAGAGAGAGAGAGAGAGAGAGAGAGAGAGTCGAGAGAGAGAGGGAGAGAGAGAGAGAGAGAGAGAGAGAGAGAGAGAGAGAGAGAGAGAGAGAGAGAGAAGGAAAAGAGGGAATAGGAGAAAGGGAGTGAGTGAGCTTGAGAAAGAGCGTGAGAAGGAGAGAGACTGTGAGAGAGAAACAGAGAAAGACTAAAGTGTAGAGAGGGAAAGCGAGAGAGAGAGGAAAGTGAGAAAACGAAAGCGAAACAGAAAGGAGTGAGGGGGAGAGAGAGAAAAGTAGAAATAGTGATGGGGAGAAAAAGTGAGGAAAACAGAAAAGGAGAAAGAGGAAAGAGAGTGAAAGAGAAACGAAAAGAGAGGGAAAGGAAGTGAAAGCGAGATGGAGTGAAAAAGAATCGAAACAGAAAGAGAAAAAACAAAATGGAAAGAAAGAGAGTGAGCCAAAAAAATAAGGGAAAGAAGTGAGAAAAAGAGAGAAAGACTTGTCAGCGTAAAGAGGGGCAGAGAAAGACAAAGAGAAAGTGAAACAGAAAAAAGAGAAAGGAGAAAGGGTGAGGAGAAATAGAAACAGAGAGCAGGAAGTAGAAAGTGTGACAGAGAAAGCAAGAAAAACGAAAGCCGAGCGCGAGAGCGGCTCAGCTAAAAAAGAGCAAAAGAGACAAAGAAGGACTCATGCTCGGAAGAGAGAGAAAGAAACAAAAAAAGAGGGGGCGGTTGCAAAAAAAAAATTAAAATCGCCATTTCAGTCACGTGATGTCCTCGTGGGGAGCGCGCAGTCGAGACGCGCCGGGTTCCGAGCGTATATTCTCTCGCCACCCGTGTGAGCTTCGCGCCCCCTTCTCGGCATCGTCGCCGCATTCGCCAATCAGGTCTCGTCTTCGGACGCTGACGGCCGTCATCGTTCTGACGTGACGGAAGGCGGCTGAGGCGCTGCCGCGTTAAGTGCCGCGCACCATCTGCTGTTCCGTGTTAAAAGGCGACTCGGCAAAAAAAAAAAAAAAATGTGACCTGCATCCTGCCGCTGCTCTGGCGACCATTCGTCATCATGCCCAAATTCTTATGAGGTCACCATATCAAACACACACACACACACACACACACACACACACACACACGCTCAGTAGGTAGGTCTTACCTGCGGTGTCTCGCGTACTTTCCGCTGACGTGACCGGAACCATCGCAGCCCGCCGTCGGACAGCTGACAAGACAAGACGACGATAATGACGTCAAGTGAGTTTTTCCATATTCAACAATATTATTATGAATACAGTCATCCCTCGTTTATCGCGGTTCATGGGAACACAAAACCACCCGCGATCAACGAAAATCCGTGAAGTAGCGACCAATTAACATATACGGGTTAAAAAAAAAAAATTGTTTTTTTTTTAAGTCCGCAAAAAGTTTATTTATTGAAATAAATAAATAAAGAAATACATAAATACTTTTTTTTCAAATTGGGTTTTTTTATGTTTGAAAAAAATCCGCGATGCGCGCTGAAGCCGCGATAAACGAACCGCAAAATAGCGAGGGATCACTGTCCTAATATTCGCGATAATCCGCGTGATTGTGCCCCGTACAAGCGAATGAAGTGACAATTTGAAGAGCGGAGATGTAGTGCGCTTGGTCTAAAAGTCTGAAATCGGAATGGGCGGGATGTCCAGCTGAGTACCCAAACACGATGAGCTAACTTCTACGATTGCTCCCGAATGCGTGTGAGGAGATGAGTTTGTCCCGCGAAAGGCTCCCGCAGAACCGCAAGCGCATCATTTACATGATCGTGAGTCGCCGTTTGCTTCAAAGTGTGCGTGTTTCCAGTCAGAATGCGTTCTCATTTAGCGCTTGATGAAAACTACGCTCGCACGAAACAAAAAAAAGCCAAGTTGGACATACCTGAAGAGTTCCTGCGTCACGGCCTCCACGACGGCTTCACACGACGACGACGACGACAACACGTAGACGGCAAAAAAAAAAAACAGTGAGCGGCGGGCTCGTCACGACAAGTTACCATGTCAACACGACGGACACAAAGTGCTCTCGACACGTGCGGCGAAGACGCCAGAGCTAAAACAAGCACAAGGGAGGTGGGAAGTGCAACTTTGAGAGGATGTTAAAAGGGAAACAGACTGAAAAAGGAAAACATGAGGCGGGAGGAAAAAAATAAAATAGGAGAAATAAGGCCTTCGCGGTGGTAAAATGGTTAAAGTACGACTTGGGGGAAGCAAAGGAGAGAAGCAAGGTGTTACGGGGAATCCAAAAAAGGATAACAAGGCATGTGAAGGATGGAAAGGAGAAAGGAAGTGGAGAAATGACAAAGTCAAGGTTGGAAATGGGCGAAAGAACAAATGACGAAAGGCGCAAACGGAATGTGAAACCAAAGAGGCAGAGAGAGAAAATGCTAAGGAGAAAAAAAAGGAAGTATGGCGGAGAAACGAGTAAGAGGACGTAAAAATGAGAATGGCTGACAAGAGGAAAAGGCGAAATATGGACTCCGCGAAAGGAAAGAAAAGTTAGCGGGAAGGGAAGTCCGATCTTGGAGGACATCAAACGGGGGTGAGGTCGAAAAGGGAAATCAATCAAACAAAGTCAAAAGGGGAAAGAAGGAAGAAACAAAAAAAATCCGCCAGTCGCGGCGAGCTCGGCCTAATTTGCGCCGCACCATGTCAGAAAATGCAGTCGGGCAGCAAACTGGAAAAGTAATAAGCCGTTGAAAGGAGAAAAAAAAAGGAGAGGAAAGAGGAAAGAGAAATGGTGTGTCGAAAAGAGCAAAAAAATGTGGCAAAGGTTCCCCACCACGCATTCCTTTGGATCTGGTTCGATGGCGTTTGTCCGCTGCATTTGCCTCCATCTGGACAGGAAGTGACATCATCACACCGGACCAAAGACGGCGACGCCGACGAGGAGGAGGACGACGAGCGTACCTGGCCGGGCCGGCTCGAGCGCGGGCTCGCGGATGGCAGACGAGTTCAGATTCCCGCCTCCTCGAGCCTCCTCATCTTCTGCGAAACCACCACGGCGAAGGGGTTGAAATGCTCTCAAGGTCAAAGGTCACGCGACGGCGTCAAGCTGACCGAGAAGCGGGCGCACGCGCGCGCGCGAGAGACTGCAGTGCAGCAGCATTTCGAATCCGAAATGTAAATTGGCTGCCGCCGTTGAGGACGCGGGCGGGCGGGCTCGCCGAGTTCATCTGAGGCCGCCGCGCCGCGCCGCTCGCCCACATCAAATAGCCCCTCACCGTCCACCGCCCCTCCCAAACCCAGCGAGAAGGAAGCCCTCACCCCATTGCTAAACTCTCCCACTCTGTGTCTGCGTGTGATGATGGAATGCGCGTTCCAGACTACGTGCAGGTCATGCACGGGTGATGTGGAGGGAAAAGCAGATACAGAAACGCAATGAACCCTTTCATGCACAAATAATGATAACCTGTCACCCGATAAGCTTGTCCACTGTCGTAACCGCTGTCCCTGAGAGGGTTTAGGGGGAAGGAGAAAAAAAAAAAAAAAAAAAAAAAGCAAAAAAAAAATTGTCTAAATGCATAAATAGGATTCGACTTTTACCACATAAAATTGCGGGGGGGGAAAAATACATCTATTAAATTCAACGTATATGGGAGATAAAAAGAAATACCATTTTAAGCACGCAAAAAAATTCTAAAAAATTGGAAAAAAATATTGATGTGCTTAAAATTGTGGGGGGGAAAGAAAAAAAACATTGAAAAAAAAATTACACAGTACAATTGTGTATAAAATGAAAATATTTTTCGAAATGCCGGGAAAAGAGTAAGAGCCTATGAGTAAATGTAGACAAATGTGAAAAAAAATGGAGTTCATATATAGGAACAACTATTCAAAGAATGAACATGTTTTAGAAGGTAAATGTGAGTGGGAGGCCTTGTTGAAGTTTTATAACGCGTAAAACAATATCTCCATATTTTTTGAACTGCATAAAATTGCAAACAAATTATAACAATATTTAAGAACAAAAACGTGACAAGTTTAAATGCCGAAAATGTGGGAAAACGTTGTGTCCAAAAATTGTGGAAAAAAAACTTTGGTGTTATAAAAATACGAAAAAAAAGTTAAAAAAAAGAAAGAAAAAAAAAGAAAATAGTTTTTAATCAACAAAAAAAAAAGGAAGACAATAGTTGCTGGATGTCTTTTTTGGTGCATAAACTATAGGGAAAATTTTTATTTTGACTACCGAAAAATATGACTCTAAAATAAATATGGAACACATCTATTTAAAAAAAAAAACAAATGTGACGACGTGGCCATTTGCCATTGAACAAAACAAATTCAGTCGTGCAAAAACGTGAGCAGATGTCGAAATTCAGATTGCGCTCGTGCATCTGGCAAAGCATCGGCTTGTGCGCGTGGCGCGGTGTGAGAAGGTGTCTCTGACTGTTTAGTATTCCGACTGACACTCAGCCTGTCTGCTATAGTCTGATGCGGCGCTCCTATACCCGCACGCTTGCACATACGCTCTCCCCGTTGCACGCGCCCGCGCAACAAGCCGCACAATGGCGCAGACACACCGCTGTTGTTGTGCCTCGCGACGGCCGGCAGACGGGAAGGCAGCAAACAAACACGTGCGCCCGCTCGCCGCATCAATAATACAAAACCAACACGAGCAAACCGATTTCCGACAGCGTGTGCGCGGCGCGTTACAGTAGAGACGCACGCGTGCGCGATGATGTATTTGTCTTTGTGTCTTGGAACACGGCCAATATTCGCTCTCTGCAAAGTAATACAACATTCAGGAGTCTAATCGAGTACTTAGAGACAAACAATCAACTGGTCGCCAGTCGGTGTCGAGGTCCAAGTAGCCAAATGTGCATTCGCGCTCCCATTTCGCGATCGTCGATGACAGTAACGGCTAACGTGTGGCAGTCGTCGGTTGCATGCATGTGCAGTACCACATTGTGCCACTGCATGCTGGCTGGCAGCAACGAGCTCGACTGGAAACGACGCAGCGTAGTTCAAGGCGAGAAGAAACGGACGACCTTCAGCATCGCATAGGAGATTTACTTTTTGCGGCAGAAAAAAAAATATCAGGTTGTACGCATTGTTGCTCCGCGCGAGTTAACGTAGCGGTTGTCTGACGTAACGTCGCAGCTGAGAGGCGGTCAATCGGCTCGTTTGGTCGATTATATGATGGCGGGGGAAATGCCGACGTGCTTCAGACAGACTGTGTAGACATGACAAAACAAAAAAAAAAAAAAAGTATGTGTGGTGTGAGGAAACAAAACTCATGTATGTAAAAAAAAAAAAAAAAAAATTCTATTATGACGAATATATTATGAATTAGGGAGAGTTTGACACCACATTTTATCTGACCAATACTCAACTCTTGCAGATGCACTGACACCAATAGCACAAGTAATTTTGATACATCAAATTGCTACTAAACTACTGACAGATCATTTTAACCCTTTCAGAGACAGCGGCCACTACACTTGACCTGAAGTTATCAGGTTCTCATTATTGGTGCATGTAAGGGTTTAAAGAAAGAAGACGATAGCATTTTCGCTCTAAACCGCATGCAATTATTGCCAATTTTCGATGACCTTTTTTTTTCCCATTTGTGTGCAATACAGTGACATCATCAACCTTATAAACACACACATTGCATTTGAATGGACATATAAGATGAGTGACATGAATGCAGTTGAAAGGAGAAACACGCTGTCAGCCATGCATGCTATTTCGTTCCAGATAATATCGTGGCCACAAGAGGGCGCAGACTGGTATCGACCGCCTTCACGAGTATTCGATACTTGGAAATAAGACTGGAATCGGCCCAAGACCGATACCTGGCGTGGATGCCTGACCACCCCGATCGTTATTATTTCCCTACAATGCGTGGCTCGAGCGCAACAAGCAACTTGGTGGGCGGGCACGGCCGCCTTTGGGCCACCTGTGGGGATGCGTCTGGTTGTACGGCTATAGACAAACGATGACTTTGACGTCAAAATTTGTCTTTTGGGTGCTGATGTTTTTGATAGTCACAAAAAGCTTTTGGATGAAAGCAACCCATGTACGATGGGTGATTACTGAAGAACAGAAAAACTTTTTTTTCCAGGTGAAAGACAAGAGTCTTGTTGTTCCTTTGGTCGGTTCGGTCGTTACATTGAGACGGAAGACAATATTTCGCGGGTTTTGAAAGATCAGTCAAAATACCGTAAAATTGCTGGCACGAAGCAAGTTCAAATGACCAAGTGATGCTTGGTTTGCGAATATGGTCACGTCGCTGCATGCTGACGCCAAAGTTGAGTCCGAGCGCAAGACGACGAGGAATAAAAGACAATCGATAGTGCCGAAAAGTCCTCTCTCTCAACTCTCCGCATTATTTATGATTAAAAAAAACAAACAAAAAAAAAACGTCCAATGCGAAACTAATGCCAACAATTCTGCAGTCCGTCATTGTCACACTTGATCGGACGGACAAACTAAATATGACCGTCGACAATTGACTCAAAGTGCCCGAGTTAAATCCTGTGATCGATACTCTTCGACGCTGATGAGCAAAACACTGCAAGATTCCACAAACTCAACAGCCACTTGATTAGATACACCACACCACCCATTGACGACAGCAACTCCGATTGACAGTTTCACGTTTCTAATATTGGGAACACTTCGTAAGAGCCTGAAAGTACTGTCGGGTGTGACGACATACAAACAAACAAAAAAAGTCTCGTTTGAACATTCTGTACATAAAATCTGTGTGTCCCTAATGAAGTGTCCAGTGTCACAGCTGACAGGCATCTCCATGTCAATGTATTCATAATAATAACCAATACGACGCTTCTGACCTATGACTTGAAAACGATCAATGGCATTGAAAAGAGATCACGAGGGCAACATTTTGCAGGTGCCGCATTGCACGCGCGCGTCTAAAAAGGGGCAAAAGTGGCGGCAAAGGAGGACGCCGAGTCGCCAACGTCCCCCCCCCCCCCTTCCCCCGCGCAGGCGCGTGCACGCCGCCGACAACTGTCACCTCGGCACACGTGCGCGGGCGGAGGAAATGACAATGCTCGGAGGCGAGCGGGGGAAGCGCGCGAGCGCGCGCGATGGGAAATGACGGAAAGGAAAAGCAAAACATACCGCAAGAGACACGATGGCGACTCGTCGTCTTCTTCTTCTTCTTCTTCTTCCTCCTCCTCGGGAGTCGGAGCGGGTGCACTCTTCCTCGGCGTCTCTCTCTCTCTCTCTCTCTCTTTTGTCGCGCTATCTGGCCATGCCTTCACTAAAGTGAGGAGGGAGGGGGGGGCACGGGGGGGTGGGAGGAGGGAATCCAGACAGAGGCGAGGGGAAGAGGAGGGGGATGAAGATGCGATGTTGAGACACTGCAGAAGAAGAGGAAGAGGAGGGGAGGTTTACCTCTCTTGGCGCGCTCTTCCGTAGCCTCCTCTCGCCTCGACTGGCGGCCGCGCGCACGCAAGCCAAAGGATGCGGAGGCGGGGGCGCGCGAGCTCATTCGCCTCGCTCTTTTATTTATTTTTTTTTATTTTATTTTTTTTTTATTCCGAGCCTGTGCGCGCGCACACGCCTCCCCACTGGGAACAAAGGACAACTTCCTGCCCACCTTTTGTCGGGCTGGGATGACTTCGGGGGTTATTAGACTTTTCATCCGTTTTTTTTTTTTTTTTTTGTTTTTGACGAATGGGAAGCGCGGCGGGCCACTTCATTAGGCACACCTGCAATCACGTGCCAATTTGTGTTGCGGCTTCGGCCGCCACGCTACTTGGCGACAGCCAATTAGATTTGGCAAATTTCAAGGGTGCAAGGCCTCTGTTGCTGATCCCGGAAATGCATGTTCCTTGCAAACGTGGTTCCACTTAAAAGGGAAATAACCAACTTCCTTTTGGTGTTGTCTATTATAGTAAAACAAGAAAACCATCAAAGAAAAATAATTTGTATATGTTTTTTTTCAAGTCCCAGGACATATGCACCCTTTAAGACAAAATTTCACCCACTCACTCTGCTTAAAAGTTACACTTGTGGCGGCTCCTTTTAACATTTAATAGGGCCAAGGAGGGGCGCTACATTGGAGCACTCGAGCTGACTGAGGTCACATTGGTTAAAAAGACTTTCATTGAGGGGTGGGCCAAGAATGGCCTGTGGTGCGCTGAGCATTGACACCTTCAAAGAGGCCACGTACTACCATGTTGGGTGCTTCCTTGCCCCCTGAAATCATTGAATGCATGTGATTGTGTTCAACATGTTTTCCCACGATGAAGGCTGACTCTTCTCCTCTTTTCCCTCTCACATCCGCAGGCCAACGTTTTGCACAACTCGAATCCCATTTTCTCATCCGTGCCTTCATTTTCACCTCATTGCCTCTGATTGTTTCATTCCTCTTCATCCGCTCTCCTACTTTGTCTTCCTTTGCCATCATTCCTCCTCCTTCTTTTCCTCCCCGTCTTCCTCACGCTTACGAGGATAAGCCTGCATCTTCTTCCTCCTCACGGGCACGCCGCCTTGCTCTCTCCATAACCGTCTTCCCCGTGACCGCAGCGATCTGAGGACATGCAGACAGAAAGCGAGAGGCGGGAATGAAAGCGAGCGTGAAGTGACGTGAAAACGCTGACCTACTTCGCTTCAATGAAAGGCGGCAAGCGCGATTATCGATGGCGACACGTTTTGTGACAAAAACTAAATACAATCAAAGAGGATGTTTCGATTCGTCACTAGCTCCCAAATTAGCATCACACAAACACTTGTTGTAGCACACAAACCTCATTCAGTGTCATGTACAGTTGGAAACTATGCTGCCCCCTAGTGGCGGTGTTCAAGGCCATCGTCATGCCGCAAGCTGGCAATTTAGGAAGAATATCAAATAAGTGCTGATTGAACATCGTTCATGTTCAGCAATGCAATGGAAACAACAAAAGGTTTTTTTTTTGTGTGTTTTTTAAAATTTTTAGTTCAAAGATGTTTTGCGTCAAAGGTCTCGTGCGGGTTCGCCAATGTCCTTCCCCAGCGCCTTCCTCCCTTCGGCGGCTGCGTCACGCTCGCACACTTCACGGCCGCTTTTAGCACCGAATTTCATTTGTGCGGTGGCGACGTGTTTACTGGGCAGGTCTCCACCGTGTGTAGGTGTTTTCTTTTTTTTTTTTTTTAATTTATTACCCTCCCCCTGCCCCCCTCCCACCTCCCCTCCTTCCGCGGCAGCAGCCCGCAGCACGTTGCAGGCTCAGTGGGAGAAAGTCAATTAGAGTGAGGCCGAGCCTGGCTGGCGGCGGGCTTACGGGAGTCAGATAAGAGTGGGGAGATGGCAGCTGCCGAGGCTCGCCTGGCAGGATGCATGGGCGGCCAAGCGCTGAACTTTGCCCTCCACATGCAGACGGATAATGCTGGCACCAGCCAGCCAGCCACTGCTCCCCCACCCCCCTCCTTCTTCCATTTACGAATGAACTTTCTCAAATGTCCACATACGCAAATGTACAATGAAGGCATATTTGTTCCAAACTCACCAGGGAAAGATCGTCTGGAACGCACTTCAATGCTACACTTGCTCTGGGATCACGTGACAAGTTGGGCCCACTGCCAAGTAACGAGAACCACGAGACACAACCATAACTTGAGAGTCGAAGCGACCACCAAATAAGAATGGAAAAACTCAACTTTGCAACAAAAGTTAAGATAATATCATGAGACGCAAAACCTGCACTCCCCTCCCAGGGCATCTCCCTTTTTGGGACATCCACATTGCATTTTGGGGACCCGCACACTGGAATTTAGAGACCACCATGAGTCAACAATCAGAAATACCATATTGGCCCAAATATAAGACTGTGTTTTTTGCATTGAAATAAGATTGAAAAAGTGGGGGTCGTCTTACATTCGGGGTCTAGACATTATACCCATTCACAACGCTAGATGGCGCCAGATACCATTGAAGCGAATGCTGAACTTGACTCCCCAGGCCAAAGTGAACCCCTGTCACGAAGAATAAAAATAAAAATAGCGGTAGCACGAAGAAGAAAAATAAAAAATAGCGGTAAGAAAGAAAAGAGAAGAAAATAATAGAAACGATAACAGAAAATGGAGAAACATAGCGACAATCTGGAGAAAAGTGGGTCAAAGATCGGCCAGGTTAACCGGCAGCTGAGGAGAAGTTATGATGTAATTTACATTTCAAAAACCAGAAGCCATTCATTTACGAATGTGATTGCACTTTAGTTTACATATTTAAATGTTCAGATATTAAGATTTGAATGAGGCAAAATAACATGCTTTTTCTCTCAAATATATTGTTAGAATCATTTGTTTCAGATGTACTGTAATTATTTTCTGTATAAAAATTAATTTGGTGTTCAAAAAGTCTTTATTCAAACTTAAGTCTTGAAAAAGAGGGAGTCGTCTTATAATCAGGGCCGACTTATATTCGGGCCAATACGGTACTCAGACCTCCATTCTTCAGTTTTCTTCAGTTCTGCAAGCCAAGTTCATGCTCAATCGGATTGTGGTCTGGGGATTGACTTGACTTGCAGAACATTCCGCTTTGTTTGCTTTGGTATGATGCTTGGGATGGGTTACCATCCATCTGGATTGTAAAGCGTTCTGATTATCAGATTGCCCCAAATACTTGGGAATTCATTCTGCTGCTTTTTGTCAGTAGCCGCATCATCCTGAAATACAAAAAAGAGCTGAGCAGCCAACCCTCAGCCCCGTGACTTTTACGCCCTTCAAAAGTGGGACGCGTAGCGTATATATCAACCTGTGCCGTATCACCTGACTTCGATGCAACTCCCCTCACATTCAAGCTCAAATTTTGTTCCGTTGATGTCCCGATATTTATGAACCTGACACATATTTTTGTTGTAATGTGACAGAATTTTTGGTTGAATGCGAATGGCACATTTGGATTTTTCCTTGTGTTATTACGAAAATCGAAGTTTCCATGCGCACTTTCCAATAAACAAGTGCGAGTAGGCGTCTATCCTTCCTTCCTGCCCGTTGTCTTGGTGGGATTCAAACTTGCCATAAAAGTCAAGACGGCCGCGGGGTGGCTTTGCATAGCTCGCCAAAATGTCGATTCTCTTCAGCGGTAATGAAGCCCCGCATGAGCAGAATCTGCCAAGTGCGAGCGTGAACTGGACCGGGCCGCGCGGAACAAGACGAGGCCCGACCGACTGAATGCAGCTGACGGGAAGCGGGAGGAGCCCGGCCGAAGCTTGGCCGCTCCCATAAAGGTCGCATCTCTGTCTTGGCATTTTGATTGGCTCTGGGTTTTGTGAAGGTGAAACCATGCTGTGGCCATGGAAACACTCCCATATTGTACTTTATAAAAATATAGAGTCATGACATGTTTACATAAAATGTAAAGAATGAACATTTTTGACACGTCTGCTTCAATTTTATGCATCAAAACAGTCAGTTCAGTAAATTGCTCTTTGCAGAGGATAAGGAATATGTCCATGAGGATAATGTTATATTTTCTGGCCATTGGTTGAAATATCCGTTTTTCAAAGGTCTATAGGATCTCCCATTACGTGTGAGCATTGAGATAAGAATATAAAATCATCTTTCGGCTTATCCAGGCCTCAGGTTTAAGTAATTTTAGCAAACTGGATTTTAGACTTAAAGTGACTTTTAGGCAGAATGAAGACCTTCATTTTGGGAACTCACATTGCTTTTAACTCATTCACTCCCAAAGACGTTTTTAAACGTCTTTTCAGACTTGGTCTAGAATTGGCTGGTACTGAATGAGTTTTAAGGGGCATGGGAGAGCCTGGCAGCAAGAGGTCACAAAAGTTTTTTTTTTTTTTTTTGCAAAGAGTGAAGAAAAGTTCCAAAGGTTACTAGATTTTGTGCAAAGTTGCCTTACCTTGAACTGCTTGCTTGTCACTGGTGTGTAAGGCCTGTGAGGAAGAGAGAAAGAAAAACCTGTCACAATGGCAAATAGCGTTGGACAATTTGCAAATAATTCATTCAAGTTGGGACCATTTTTCTTTTCTTTTTGTAACCATATTCCCGAGGTTAGAGCAACCGCAAAATACTTATATTCAATTTTTAAATTGGACATTTTACTTTATAAAGGCCGCATGACCCAATCCAAACAACAAAAGATGTCGACTCCTGGCTGATGATGAGGTCAAACTCCCGACTGCGCGCAATGAAATTCGCCCGCTGAGTTTCGTCCAGTGCGGCACAGTCATGTCGACGAAACTCAAGAGTGAGAAATTGCAAATGTCGGCCGCCGCGGCTTCGGAAAACAAGAGAAGTTTTGTGGCCGCGGGTGTTGAGGACACAGCGGCTGGTTTGTAATTCGCAGCCTCCGTTCGCAGGGAGCGTCGACCTCAGCAGAACATCTCCCCCGGATAACGGTATAGAAAAACTTCACGCATCCGTGCTGTTGACTTAGTCCACTTTACACTTTGTTCCTTCCCTCCAGCGGGGCGCCACTGCGGTTCCATGCCAGCGCGCCGGCGTTGCTTAACGAGGATGGCGCCGGTGAGGAGGTGAGCGAGCAGAGATGAACTCCGACCTGCAAGAGGCGCTCTCTCTCTCTCTCACGCCTAGACTGGCTCGCCTCCGGCCGAGTGGCCGTGCTATCCGCTCGCTGCCAGGAACGTGCAAACCGGAGAAGGACGGGCAGAGGGGAGAGGGCCACAGTCATGATGAAAAACATGATGATGGAGGAGGGAAGGAGTGCAACAAGGATGGAAACAAGGAGGGAAAGAGGGAAGATAACAATGATGCAAAAAAAGAAAAGGCAAAATGAGAGGAAGGAAACAACAAAGGCAACAATAAAGGAAGGAAGGAAGACAAACGGGAAGGAAGGAAAACAATGACGCAGAAAGGAAGGAATCAAGGAAGACATCCGTAAGGGTAGAAAGGAAACAGGGAAGCAAGAGAGCAAAATGAAAAGGAAGGATCAAAAGACAAAATGGGCGGGAGGAGTGAAATTAGGATGCAAGAAAGGGAGACAAAAAGGAACGAAGGTAACAAGGATGGAGACGGTGATGGAAGGAAAGGCATCTTGGAAGCAAGACAAATCACAATGGAAGGAAAGGTGACACTGAGAAATTAAGCGGAAATTGAAGGAAAGAAACAAGGAAGGCAACTTGGGAAGAAACAAATATGCTCACAAGCAGGACAGGAAAGAGGCAAGGTAACAAAAAGGGACGGCAAAAACAGAAAACGGGTAAGGCAACAAAGAAGGAGCGATGACAACATGAAAGTGAGAAAGGATTGCCAAGGAAGGATGAAAGGAAACAAGGACACGAGAAAATAAGGATCTCAATCGCTTTCCAGTTCGACTAAATAGGACGAAGGCAAACGCTGTGCAGGCTTTGGGCGCCCCCTGGCGGTCAAGAGAAGCCACGACTTGCCACTAAATAAGCACTTGAGGTTTTCCTCCCACGCAGACGACCCCCAAGAGCTAATCCTCTCGCTCAGTTTCCAGCGGTCCTCCGTGCACACATTCTTCCTACGCTTCCTCGCGTCCCCTGACTCCAAACTTCACGCGACATCACAAACCTCTCAACCAACACGAAGGCTGAGGCCTAAAACAAGTTTATTGGAAAAGGAATAAAAAAACCAGTAAGAACATAGGGGCCAGCGGGGCGGGGCCTCAGTTAACAACAAGACGACGACGGAGATGATGCCGGTGACGAACACCTCCATAAAGCAAAACGTGGTTCTGGGGGTGGGGGGGTCAGTGGAGCGCCTGCTTGGACTTTGCCGCTCCTTCTCTGGATAGCCTGTCGGCCTCCTCGTTGCCTCTGTAGCCCGCGTGGCCTGGGATGTGCATCTGCAACAAAACCGCACACGATTTCAATGCACGTTCCTTCCCAAATGTTCTTTTATTATTGTAAAGCACATTGAGTTACCTTGAGTATGAAAATCAAGGTGCCTTGCCTTGGCCTTAATAGGCTTCGTCAAATTGTGTGACACGAAAAATAAAACACTAGCTCTACCATCCGCCTATTTGTTGCATTAACTCATTCAGTACCAGCCAATTCTGGACCAAGTCTGAAAAGATGTTTAAAAACGTCTTTGGGAGTGAATGAGTTAAAAGTTCTCGCCAAACAGCCAAGAGTACACTTTCATTTGTTGACTCCCATGTCACTCACCAGGGCCTGCCTTTCAAAGCCACACGCATGCAAGGTCACAGATACTACAACAATGGAAAATGGGAGGATGGCAACCCCAAGTGGACGAAAATAATAAATGCACCTCCTATGCGTATTTCGTACTCATCTTGTTTTACCCGATGACTCAAGCAATCAATTTCAAATACATTCAATAGCCCCTGCCCCTAAAACAAAACACTGTACAGTTATGATTAATTGATGAATTGGATTTAAAAATAAATCATGTACATCGCTTTACTCAAAAGCAGGATTTGATTTCAAATTGAAAGTGCAGAAAATACGCAAAAAAAAAAAAAAAAAAAAAAGATTTTGGATTCTTCAATTTCTGGCTGGGTCCATCAGAAAATGAGCAAAAATGTGAACTAGTGTTTTCCCAAAGTAAAATCAGATGTTTACAAAATGTCTTATTTTGATAACCAGTCTGCATCCATGGATGATGGCAGAAATTGGAGAATGTTTATAACTGAGAGGCCTAAAGTCCAAAGATTTGGACAATTTGCAGTTCAAACGAGGTCTCTAAACAATTAGCAAACGTACCCAGGCCACCTCCAGCTCGGCGCTGAGCCGGTCCAGCCTCTCAAAGTCGTCCTTGTTGGTGACGCTGCCGCCAGACTTGAGCTGCCAACCGTTCAGCTTCCAGTTCTTCACCCACTTGGTGATGCCTAAACGAGAGCCGCGCCTTCGATCAGTCATCGTCCAAACCGTTCCTGGCTTTCAAACGTTGCGATGAAATGCCGCTGTGTGTTCTTGTGTTGGTCACCGACCGTTGATGGTGAATTTGCTGTCCGTGTAGACCAGCAGCTTCTTGATGTTTTGTTCTTTCGCTTGTTGCAGCGCCATGCACGCCGCCTGGTGTGCACACAAGAGATGGTTTCGAAAGAAATGCATTTTACTGGGTTTTCACAAATATCGAATGTCTGATTTGAATCCCCATTGGCCTATCGAAAAAGCAAACTACAAAGACATTATTCCAAACCTGTTTTGCATTTCTCAACTATGGTAAACTCCTGATTCGACACAAGTGGATTCATCAATTTTGGGATTTTTTTTTTTTTTTTAAATCGATATTTTAAAAATATTTTTTTTCTTTAGGGGAAGGTAAACCGCCATTTTTTGTGGAAAACACTTAATGGCAGGCTATTCAAGATTGTTGTGGGGTCACAGAAATGAGTTTTATTTCCCCCCCCAATGCATTTCAATGGATCTGAATTCGATGCAATTTTTCGGGTGGGTTTGCTGCATTTTTTTTTCCTTCACAAAGGGAAAATTAGTATTTCGTCTGTGAAATCTGTGTCCCTCCCTTTCATCAAAAATCCATGTAAACATGCTCATGAAGAAGTCAAACAAATTAAAAGATCCAACAATTTACCATAACGAGCCGTCAAACTACAGAGTCCAAAAGTTGCTTAAAAAATAAATAAATTAAAAAAGATACAATAAATAAATATATGTCCTGATAAATGAGCTCAAATGAATAGCTACAACAGAGATTTAGCCCATCAGCACATTCCATTCCTTGCCTGGATTTCTGCACGTTGGTTTGTTTGTCTCCCCTCTAGCGGCTCAGCAACATTCCTGAAAAGGACATTTTATTTTCTTTGGTTGTCAAGTGATGTAGTGGCCGTCGTGTGTGTGTGTGATAACATGAGTGTTTCCTCACAGAGGATGCTGGGGACCCCAGTAGACGCCGATGCCAGCCCGAGCGCCACATTTGCCGTTGCTGGAGCAACATCCGTCCGTGTAAACCACCACGGCATCACCTGTACACGCACGCCAGCAGCATTGCCGATGCATTCAATAGATTCATTTTAACTGCTGTCACGGAGGGTGTTCCTCCCACTTGATCACTGTACACTCACACAACACAACGCACACACACAATGCAACACACACACACACACACACACACACACACTTGTTACCCATGTACGTGAATCCATCTTTGTTGTCCGAAGACGAACTCTGGTTGAGTTTGACGCGTTTGGACGGCACTATAGCTTTCTGTTGCTGCTGCTCCTCGTCCTCCTCCACGTGACTTCTCTTCTTGCCGAGCGGAATGTACTCCAAAGGCTCTGGCCCTTTTTTGGGAAGCAAATACACCTCGGGTTCCACTGCTAAAACAAAGAAAAAAGAAAAAAATGAGAGTAGGAAACAACTTATTTGGAGAATTCCCTGCATTAAATGAGTGTTGAGATGAAGCAGAAGAGTAGAAGTCCTCTGCGTATGCACCTTTAGGCAGCGGAGGTGCCGCAGACGCTTCCAATCCTCGGACGAAGGCCCACGCGTCCTTCTCTGAGGCAAATTTCTTAAAGGAGGCAGATGGGAATTTGTCCACCTGGGCCTTACACTCATCCCTGCAGGGCAAACAAAATTGAAAAGCACAAATGAGAACCATCCCAAAAGAAACTCCACAGCTGCAGTGATAAAACTAATTTTACATCAGCTGTATGATAGTAGAAGCGTGAATAGGCGATAGTTGTTATGACCTGTAGTAGTTTCTCTCTATCTATTCAGTCTCTGCAAAGCATTGATTCCCAACCAGTACAGACTTTTCTGTCTCTCTTTTACAGTACATTTGGATTTATGGAAATACCAAAGAGGAGTCATTTGTGTGCCAAACTATACAGCAACAACATAAAAAAGTGTCACAACGTTTAGCTACTGTCTTGTTGTGTTGAACATGAAAAATGCTTTCGAAGCCGTTGCCGTGGAAGACAGAGTTGTCTCCATGTAAATACGACGAGAAGAGTCATATTTGTGCCGAACAGAAGAGAGAAAAATGGGCTTTACAAAAGGTTTGAAGTCAATATCGAGCTGATTTCTTATTTGGCTGCACTTGAAAATTATTTTTATAACCGCGGAAAATCTCGAGGGTGTACGGCAGGTGCCGCCAGCTCTCACAACAAAACGCCATTTCCATAAAGACACAACAGATTTGTTTGACTGACTCGTCTCTCACCAGGAGTTGTAGACACCAGGTTGGAATCCTTTTCTCACGGCGTAGAAAAACTTTCCCTTGGCCATGTCGTCGGCGGAAAAGCCGCAGACGCTTCTCGTCAACGTCACTGCCTTGAAAAGACGAGCTAATCTCAGCATGACAGTCAGCGAGCAGCCGGCAGATGCACGCAGGCGGCTGCCATCTTGACGCGGACGCGAAGAAACGGCGTGAGCGCGTTTGATTGTTCGATAGAAAACGATGCAAACGTAGCTTGACTTGCAGCAAGTGGCACCAGACGCCAATGTTATGCTAACCCTTCGTCTGCGCTACACACGTCAAAATAATTTCACGTTAAGACAGTAACGATAAAAAAAGGCTGCTGCGTCTTTAAAGCATTTTAAGGGTCTCCATAGAAGAGCTTAGGTAGCTTAGGAGCCGAGACAAATAAAGTTGAAATTGAACCTGTGCGAAAAACGAAAACTTCTCTGTCCTATTTCGCGCTGCGCGTTGCTTTAGCAGCACAGCGGGATTTTTGTGTCGCCACCTGGTGGACGGGAGGCTTCACGGCAACAACTAACGTTATAAACAAGTGCAACAAAGGAGCATCCGTTTCTTGTTTTTAAGGTTACAATATTACTTATTGACAGTAACCTACAAATTTCCAACGTTTCCCATTACTACTTTTGTCACAGTACATATTTAGCTCACACTACGACTTTACTTGCTTTTGAGATAAATATCAGACTAGAGAAACTGTAAAACTGCCATTTAATCATTACTACGACTTTACTTGCTTTTGAGATAAATATCAGAGAAACTGTAAAACTGCCCTTTAATCATGAAGGGCTCCTTCACAAAGAAATTCCACATATCGAAATGAAAATATTTAACTCTGTGACTGCTCTGTCTGTCATCATCCATGACAATATACAGCGGACATAAAACGTCTACACACCCACGTTCAAATGCCACGTTTTTGTAATGTTAAAAAAAAAAAAGACAAAGATAAATCATTTCAAAACCCTTTCTTCCATTAATGTGACCTTCAACCTGTACAATTCTCTTTGGAAAAAAAAAGAGATCCCTTCGAGAGGGGAAGTAAAAATAATCATTTGTCAGTGTTGTGCTGCTAGCCTGTAAAATCTGAAAGGGTTAGCAGCTCGGGAGAAAAAAAAAAGGAAAATAAATATCGGAAACGACAACAGCTACAATAAGCACAAATAGCGGAGACAACTTGTTCAATTTCTCTTTATTTGAAAACAACAATCATGTTTGTTTGCATGTCATCGTACACACACACACACACACGCGCACACACACACACACACACACACACACACACACACATTTGTGAGAGTATTACTGTACATGTATTGTATGAACCAGCACAACACCGAACTTTCTTTTCATAAGCGCGTGACGCGACGTGGCGTCTCTGCCACGTTTTTGTAATGTTAAAAAAAAAAAAGACAAAGATAAATCATTTCAAAACCCTTTCCTCCATTAATGTAACCTTCAACCTGTACAATTCTCTTTGGAAAAAAAGAGATCCCTTCGAGAGGGGAAGTAAAAATAATCATTTGTCAGTGTTGTGCTGCTAGCCTGTAAAATCTGAAAGGGTTAGCAGCTCGGGAGAAAAAAAAAAGGAAAATAAATATCGGAAACGACAACAGCTACAATAAGCACAAATAGCGGAGACAACTTGTTCAATTTCTCTTTATTTGAAAACAACAATCATGTTTGTTTGCATGTCATCGTACACACACACACACACACGCGCACACACACACACACACACACACACACACACACACACACATTTGTGAGAGTATTACTGTACATGTTTTGTATGAACCAGCACAACACCGAGCTTTCTTTTCAGAAGCGCGTGACGCGACGTGGCGTCTTCACCCTCAGCTGGCCTTCACCAGGTACAAAGAGAGATTAGAAAAAGGCAGACGCACACACGATCATACAACTGAATATTTTCACCATCCGGAGAATTTGAATGGCGTCGAGAATAAATAATTTTAAAAAAATGACGTTTTTTTTCTTAAAAAACAAACTACTCACACACGAGCTTCATGTACACAACATGTATGTATATGTAATATGTATGTACGTTATCTGTACATATGTACATTTACACGCTTATTTTTGCGGCTTCAAACCTATTCTGGAAAGTTTTCGACGACAGCGCAAGGAACGGGATTGATTATTAGGATTTTTTTTTTTTATTGTTTTCAAAAAAGTCCCACTTGACTGCCAACGTCTGGAACGGAGTTTGGGCTGCCGTGGTAACTTTCGAGTCCCTCGATGTTGGCTGTGAGTGTACGCACAACATGGCAAAAAGCCAGAGGAATGACGTGAATTTTTTTTTTTAAAGTCAAACGCAAGAAAGGCCCGAGATGAAGTCACGTGGATTTTTACCAGAATTCGCAATCTATTTGATTGACAGTTGACAGGAAAAAGGGGCGTGGTTTCTGCGCACTCAACTGACACGCCCACAGCATTCGAGAGTGGTTTGATTTTTCGCTATTTTCAAACGTCTTTTTTGGGGCAACTGTTTTATTATTCAAATTTGACAGGATCGTCCACAACACTTTTCTCTGTAGTAATAAATTTCATTTCAAACGACAGTACTATTCACTTTAAAGGACTTTAAAAGATACAGCGGGGGGAGGGTCGAGGATGTAGCAGTTTATAGGACGTAGAATATGGGTGGGGTGTGGGGAGGGTTGAATTCAGTGAATGCAGAAACATTGCAAGGAGAAAATTCCTGAAAATATCACCACAAGAAGAAGAAGGAGAAGAAGAAGAAGAAGAAGAAGAGCAGCAAGAAAATGTACAAGCCAAAAGGACTTAATGCAAATGTATGGTCATGTCAAGATTATCGAGCGAACGGATGAAGTCATATGCAGTCTAAATATTGTTGACACATCCTCATGTCGTGAGTATGTACTGCCGATGTAAGCAATTAAAAGCATGCGCGACATAGAAAAAGGCGGCCACCACAGAAATAAGAAATAAAAATGTACAATTTATCAAATATGGTAACAATTTTCATCATCATCATCATAAATAGCATTATTTCATTACTGCTGCTGTACACATACACAAAAAAAGCATTTTCACTCCTATAAAAATATGTTTTAGTGCAACCGTACATCATAAGAATAATTCGTCACTTCACATCGCTTGTCCAGAATGTAAGGTGTCAATCAAAAAAGGAGGCGGAGGAAGGGGCGGGGCATGAAGTTGATCAGGGGACTGCTGAAATGAACAGAAACACCCAGCAAAGGCACACGGGGCGGATTCTTGTTTTTATTTTCAGAATTATTATTGTTGTTATTATTCAAGTACCACTTGACTACCTTGAAGCTGGCCGGCCCCCACTCACGCACATTCACACGCGCACGCGTCCTTTCGAAAGAACATCTCCCAACGTGAATTTTGTGTACGTGTGTCTGTTTGCGAGTGAGTGCTTGTGCGACTGCATGTTGGGTGTGCATGCCTGAGTGTGTGAAAGCGTGTGCGTGTAAGAGTGTTTATCATATTTGTCTCTGTGTGTGTGTGTGTGTGTGTGTGTTATTCCAGAACGAAAGAAAAGCGAATAAACTGTGCAAAATTTATGTTGTTGTCATTTCGTTGCACGCCTACGATATGTCTTTGCTGGTCTTTGTGCTTTGTGGGGCGTCTGCGGGCGTCCGGGGCGCGGGCGAGGGGCAACGTCGGGAGGCTCTAAAGTGCTGAGACCCTGGCGGCGCGGGCGATGGTGGCGACACGGCGGCAGGCGGCGAGCGCTCAGGTTGTCCTTCCTCCGGCGAGGAAGCGGAGTGTGGCAGTCCCTTAACGCGGTCCCAACCCCCTCGCTTCCCGTCGGCCAGTTCGTCGGGGTCGATGCGCAGCGAGGCGATGGCTTTGGTGCACGTTCGGATGCTGTCTTCTTGCTCCCGTATGACGAGCTCTGCCACGACGGGAGGGGGAGACCCCGACGACACCCCGATTGCTCGCCCTCTTCCGAAAGGGGCGAAGGCCTCCAGGTTTTCGGGGTCCTCGGACGGAAGTTGGCGCGGGGGGAGGCGGGGCGCGGCCTGTTGTGCCCCCTGTTGGCTCAGAGGAGCGCTGCGTGACGTGGGTACGGTGTGCACCATTTGAATCCCGCCGATGGGAATCATCGGGAACGGGGAACGCACCTGACACAAACCAAATACAATTTGCTGTCACTATAGTATCACAAAAGGAAGTTTGGGAATTGCAATTCAATATGGTAAATTAAAAACATTGTGTGTGTGTGTGTGTGTGTGTGTGTGTGTGTGGGGGGGGGTGAAGTTAAATAAAACGTAACAAAATGTGATTTTATTAGACAACGTAATCATTCTATTGCATGTGTTATAGAATATGATATGATAAATGTTACATGTGGGGAATAAATTTGACATATAATAACATTAAATACATTAAATAGTACAGTAACATTAAATTAAAAAATGTTGTTTCATAAAAGATGATGTGATAAATTTAAATAAAATATGCTAAATTAAAATAGAGGGTGGCATGATGGTTGACTGGTTCACTCGCCACCTGCCCCCACACTGCAAAAATATAGTGTTCAATTCCAGCCTCGGCCTTCCTGTGTGCCTTCCTTCCATGGGTTTTTTTTCCGGGGACTCCGGTTTCCTTCCACATTCCAAAAACATGCTTGATAGAATGCTAAATAGCCCCTAGGTGTAACTGTGAGCGCGAATGCTTCTTTGTCTATGTGTGCCCTAAAACTGGTTCAGGGTGTCTCCCGCCTACTGCCCGAAATCAACCGGGATAGGCTACACCGCGCCCGCGACCCTGATTAGGATGAGCAGCTCAGATAATGGATGGATGAAAATAGTAGAAATAGCAGAAGTACCTGCAGTTGTGAATGAAGAGGGAGGTGACTGAACAAGACCTGATGGGGTGGACTGGACTGGTTATTGCCCTGATCTTTCCCCGCTGGGGAACCGGGAACACATTCCTGGGATAAAAGAATAAAATAAAAAAGACTTTAATGAAATTCCATATGACCTGGAAAACGTTGGCCCATCCTATTATGTCTATTAACCAGATGAGGGCGCTAAAGGCCTAACACGAAGCTGAAAGGCCATTTTTCAGATGACCTACCGTGTCCATTTCTCCACCGGCGGTCCTGCGACGTCCTCGAGGGCCCAATTCCGCCTGACTCAGCAGCCCAGCGAGGTGAGCCGACCTCAGGCCTCGCGAGCCGCTCTGCTGGCTGCAAGACAACAAGCAAAAAGCGCATTAATATTCCCGGAACACCAGAAAATAGGACTTTATTTTTTTCCCGGAGAGTCAGACTTTTTAACCCAACAAACAAGGTTTTTTATCTTGGAAAAGTTGCAACCTCATTTTGTTGAAAAAAATCTGACTATTCCCACCAGTTTTTTGCACAACATTTATTTAAAAAAAAAAGTGTGATTGTAACACCCAAAAATAGGGTTTCGTAAGATTGTTAAGTGGTTTACAATCCGCGCATTAATATTCCCGGAACACCAGAAAATAGGACTTTATTTTTTTCCCGGAGAGTCAGACTTTTTAACCCAACAAACAAGGTTTTTTATCTTGGAAAAGTTGCAACCTCATTTTGTTGAAAAAAATCTGACTATTCCCACCAGTTTTTTGCACAACATTTTTTTAAAAAAAAAAAAGTGTGATTGTAACACCCAAAAATAGGGTTTCGTAAGATTGTTAAGTGGTTTACAATCCGTCTGACTGACCTCTGCAGGAGGAGGTGCTGATGAAGCCCGCGTCGAGGCGAGTTGGGCCGTATCATGGCTTTGTGGCGTCCTCGCGGCGACAGGTCTCGCTTCCCAGGAGAGGTAGGGCCCGGCAGCGGGGCAAGCAGCGACAGGTGCCCCCTCCTGGGGGACAGCTCACGCCGACAACCCCCCAAGTCCCGCTTGGGGGACAAGTGGCGCAGCGGTGATGCGTCTCGCCGAGGTGACGGGCCGCGGGGTGAGCCATCGCCATGCGGCGAGAGGTACTGCCGGGCGGCCGGCGACGAGCAAGGCGAGACGGGGGACGAGCAGCCTGAGTAGTCGGGCCCGGGGGAGGAGAGGCGGGAAGATGGCGAGGGGAAATCCTGTGAGAGGTCTTCGTCCATGGGGGGTTGCGAATGTCCCGGCGCCCCCTGCGGCGTGATGTGGATGCTGGGCACGGTGGTGAAGTAGCCAAAAAGAGGCGGCGATGGCTGAGAGGCAGCCGCTGCGATGGGGACGCCGTACGGGCTGGCCGAGCGGGACGACGTCCTGGGGGTGGAGTCGCCGTCGCAGTCGTCGTCCTCGTCGTCTTCGTCGTCCACCTCATCGCCGTCGTCTTCCGAGTCGTCGGCGTCGGAAAACTGATGATCGGCCAGGGCCTTGGGTCGCGCGCCGGCTTCCTCGCCGACGTCTGCGAAAAGCAAGTTATCAGCGTGTCAGCGAAGCCTCAGTATCGTAATCCCCCGTTCTCAACAGGGCAAAGAGAACAAGCTCTGCTGTCAAAAGCAAAAAAACACGAGGAATTCCCATTAAAACGTTTCAAGTTGCCTATATTCAGCCGTTTTCAAGGCCCACCGAATATTTTCACCCAAAAAAAGTTGCTTCAGACTTTTTCTAGACCTCAGTTATTAGCAGTAGATCATGGGTTGGTTTTACCCAAAAAAAACAAAAAACAAAAAAAACAGTTTCTGACCAAAAACTGGATGAAACATTAGAGTGAACAGTGACTTTGACACTGCTTTTTGCTTTTTGGACACGTCAACTTATAAAATAACAAAAACAAGACTACCACTGGGAATTATGATGGCCAAAGAATCCTTACTTTACTCTACATTTAACGTATTGGCCCAAATATAAGACGGCCCTGATTATAAGACGACCCCCTCTTTTTTGAAAAAAAAACCTCAAGTTTGAAAAAAGACTTTTTGAACACCAAATTAATTTTTATACAGAAAATAATTACAGTCCATCTGAAACAAATGATTACAACAATATATTTGAGAGAAAAAGCATGTTATTTTGCCTCATTCAAATCTTAATTTCTGAATATTTAAATATGTAAACTAAAGTGCAATCACATTCGTAAATGAATGGCTTCTGGTTTTTGAAATGTAAATTACATCATAACTTCTCCTCAGCTGCCGGTTAACCTGGCCGATCTTCGACCCACTTTTCTCCAGATTGTCGCTACGGTTCTACATTTTCTGTTATCTCTTCTATTATTTTCTTCTCTTTTCTTTCTTACCGCTATTTTTAATTTTTATTGTTCGTGACAGGGGTTCACTTTTGCCTGGGGAGTCAAGTTTAGCATTCGCTTCGATGATATCTGGCCCCATCTAGCGTCGTGAATGGGTATAATGTCTAGACCCCGAATATCAGACGACGCACACTTTTTCAGTCTTATTTCAATGCAAACAACACCGTCTTATATTCGGGCCAATACTGTACTTTACTTTTACAACCTCAGTTGGAGTGTCAGGTGCCTAAACTTGTGCAACTTCCAGTGCGCTGGCATTTCTCTCCTCAAAAACATTGGCTAATTTGCTGGGGATAGGTTCCACACCAAAATGTCAATTTGTGACTCGCGAACGGCAAAGTTGTGCTTACCGACATCATCGGCCTCGCCGTCATCCACGGTAGACGTGGACACGCCCAACTCCAGACACTTTTTCAGGTGAGCTTTTGATTTCATGTGCTTGGTCAGATTCCCTGCACAAAGGCACATTGCGTGATGTAAGCCGTTCATTTCTCTTACACAAAAACTGCTCGCTCAGGAAAATTAAATGTTGTCCGACAAAACCTGAAGTGGCTACCTTTGGTCTTGAAGGCAAAGTTGCAGAACTTGCAGACATAGGGCCGCACGTCGGTGTGCGTGCGGATGTGTTTCTTCAGCATGCTGGGTTTCTTGCAGCGAATGCCGCACTCCTCGCAGATGTATTTGCCCCGACCGCGCCCGCGCACGTACACGTAGTCTTCGTTGGACTTGTACCTGTGCAGGGAATACACTAACCGTCACTTACATTCAGAGAAAGTGCACTTTATCTCACAAAATGATTCACCTGATCAAAATACAGAATCACAAACATTATGCGGTCAATGCGACTCAAATCAAAACAATAAAGATTGTGGGGATGTTAGCCGTAAGCTAGCAGACCTTCGTTCAGATGAAATAAGATGTTTTGGTGAAACGTGAGTGTTATCTGGAATATCTGAAAACGTGTATGGCCGTTTGGGAGGGCGAGTGCAGATAAAGTTTTCTGTTCTTTCTTCGGCCATGAAACTTATTTCAAGATCTCCAGCAGCAGGACGCGTGTCACAGAAGGGGAAATTTCCGACTGTTGTTGGTCAAAGTGGAACGCTGGAGAACATCCAGAATGTTCCGACGGCGCCTGACTCATGGAGACACTTCCCGTCCGGCAGGTGACGCCGGCTGTCAGGACCCGGTTGTGTTTGGAAAGAACGAGATGACGCTTGCACAGCTGCGTCCACTTAGAGAATGAAGGAAGACGCCAGCGTCCAAACTGGCGACGGGATAAATGTCCACTGTAACGTCCTTTTTAACACTCGCTTCTTGAGTTACTTTGTTTGCGTCTTTGCTACCCACAAGCATCTTTTGGGCATGAACGAGAATAATTTGACTGTGTGCTGATCTCGTTGCTGATGGAATGTTTCATATTTCCTTCCGTCAAAACAATGTCATTTAAAAAAAAAAAAAGGCAAGCCCGACCTCGGATGTAGATTGACGATTTGCTTTCCAGGGGTCTTCAGTTCACGACAGCTTCTACTGTGGCAACGTAGCCCCAATTTGTATGTTTGTCACTAACCTATGCTAATGGCTGTCAAGTCAAAATTAGCACTTGTATAAAAACATAAAGCATAAAACAATCCAATGGAAAAAAAATGGAAATATAGTGTTATAATACAGCAAACTAGTTCATTGTGTGTTGTAAGTAACCTTGAAATTTCACGTCGGCACCATCCTAAAATGAGGAACCGCCTGTAATATTTTTTACTACCCGTCTGTGACCCACTTGTGGGTTCTGATCCACCAGTTGAGAATCACACCTTAAAAGCAGAATAGCAAGTCGTGACTCATGGAGAATTGTGGACTCGAGTCGTGGTGATGACAACTTCGCCAAAACGCCATCAGACTGCTCAAACTGATGCTTGTTTGATGAAAGTGCTAATGCAGTGGCTAGCAAAACATATGTTAGCATTAGTTTGTGACTCGCTAGGTTGAGGTCAACTTATTTCTTCAAACAGACTGGAGACTAAAGTATATGAATACGTAGTCACACAGTACAGTAAGTCACGCTCAGTTTTAAACGTGTGAAAATAAGAGTTACATCGCTGCCATGGGAACGGATCGCCGTCATAAACCGAGGACCCCAGTGAAAATGGCAGAATGCTCCCAATGCGAATGCGAACACGCTTGTGAGAAAAAGCTTGAGAGTAAAAGAACAATAGCTAGCCAGCTGTCATTTTGAGTGTTTTTGTCCTTGTGATATCTTTAACAGACTTCTTTCTGGCTGACTCACACGGACACAAAGAACAAGCTGTAAAAGACTCTTGTCGAGCTGGAAAAGTGAATAGCTCGCTTTAAACAGATGTCTTTCAAGTTCACTCACAAGTCAGCTTTTTTGCTTTTTGATTTGGGGTTTCGGATCACTTCCTGATCTTTTCCTATCCGTCTGTCCATCATCCGTCCATCCATTCCCATTATCATCACTAGCCAATCCAAGCCGACTTTGAGTGAGAGATGGGGTGGTGTCGGACAAATAAGAGGCGCCAATGAAGCTAATGTGCATGTGTTTGGAATTAGGAGGATAGCTGGAGGTGAACTCCAGACTTGGTCGCCATGCTACATTTTGATATTTCATTTTAAATTCATCACAATAAATTTGAACTTGAGTGAATGAGAGTGATTTGATTGAGGTGTTGAACGCACCCTCCTTCGAAGATCTTGATGCGAGTTGGCTCGGTGGCAGACCGTTTGACCGACACGTCCTTCTCCACACGCTCCTCCTTCGGACGCTCCCACAACGCCACATCCTTCATCTTCCTTCCAAAATGGCTGATGTCAACCGGCATCAGCTCTGGTTTCAGCTGCAGATGGAAAGTGTGTCATTCTCGATTCGTCTCACTCGATAGCTGAATTTGAAATTGGAACATACCTGATCAAACCTGAGCTTCCAGGCAGCAGACGACACCAGCTTGCCTGAACTTGGTGGCGCCATGGCCGCCGTAGTATACAGGAGGTCGATGTTCCTCCGCTGTTTGGACATCAGCAAGGCCAGCGCAGCCTTCGTGCTGAGATTCAGAGGGTTGGGGTTGTAGGAGCTGACACACCAGGAACTGTAGATAGAGCTCCGTGGGTCAGCCTGAGTGCTGTTGGGCTTCGTGTAGTTGAGGAAACACCAGCTGACCCTGCTGTTGGTGCGCAGGCTCGCAAACTGGATAAAGTGCTGGGCATTGGACACCTCAGTGAGCAGCAGAGTCTGTCCCGTTACTCTGGAAACTCCTGGACTTTGGTGGGCCATGACGTTTCCTGGGACTTGACTGGCCGCAGGCAGCTTGGTGGCGTCTTCTGCATCGATGGACGAGATCATGGACTCGGGGCTGGCGCGGTGCTCATCCACATCAAGCTCCACAGGAGAATCTCGGCCACATGACACCGGTGAGGAGTCAGTGATGATCTGGAGAGGAGGAGTGAAACTTTCCGGCCGGGAAACATCAGTCCGGTGATGGGCGGAAGAACGGATGGGAACCGGGATCTTTTTGGGAACAGGGAAGTCTTCCAAGGGAGGAGAAGAGGACATCCTCTCACAATCCTCAGAACCGGGTCCCTCCTCAAGCTTAGTGCTGCCGTCGGTGCCGCTCAGCTCGACAGCACTCAACTCTTTAACCATCAGCCCAAACATCCTTTCCTCCTTAACCCTCTTCTGTTGCTTGGTCTCAATGAAGCGCTCCAAGGAACTACAGGGGGAAAGCATTCTCTTGCCGCCTCCGATGCCAGACCCGGAGGCATCCGTGGTGGATATGGTACCCGACGTCAGCGACAGAGGGATTCCCGTGTTGGGGCCACAAGGTGAAGACTTCAAGTGAGGGGAGTGTAACGTTGTTCCATCTGTCTGTCCCAGGAAGTGAGATAGGTTGAGTCCTGCTCCAATTGGATCTCCTCCAAGCCCTGGAGGTGTTTCACTGACTCTCACAGCGCCATTCGGTGAAGACACGTCGCGGATATTGGCTCTACTTTGTCCGACTAACCCTCTCCTCTGACTGTGAGCTACCAGCTGGCTAACGCTGGTATACATCACGCTGCCGTACGATGGCACGTTAGTTTGGATGCGTACAGGAACCAATAAAGGGAGAGAGATGTGGGAGCCCAGGTTCTGTGTGGCAAAGATGGGTTGGATCTGCTGGAGTGTCCCGGCGGTGCTGTTGGCCATCGACTTAGATGAGAGAGAGGCCAGGTTTTGCTCTTGGAATATGGCAGGGATCATTGGAAAACTTGAAGTGTCTGAATTTCCACTGGGTGGTGGCTGATCTTGGAGCAGCTCTTTATGGAGTGCTGTTTGCCCAGACAAACTATTCGGAGATCGGCTGTGGAGCTTCTGGAGTTGTTGCTGGGCCTGGAGGGTCAGCCGTTGTCTAGAAGCCTGACTGACCTCATGACTCCAGAACAGAGCCGGCTGCTGATAAGAAAGGAACGGAGGAGCATTCGGATGCTGTTGGACGACTTCCCTTTTTATCTCATGACCCGAGTGTTCTCCCTCGGATGAGGATCCTTGGGTCTGGAGGCGATGCTGCAGAGACCTGATACAAAGGAAATATATTTTTGATCAACAAAAAATTTTGTTTTAAAAAGAACACGCAGTCTCCTCTGGAAGCTCTTACCTGCCGCAGTGAGGTTCATCCTGCAGACTGTCCTCACTGATACTCTGCTGGAGGTCATGCTGCTGGTGACCTCCAACACCTGAGGGGAATGGAAGCATGTGTTACTATGACAGAATCACTCAACTCAAGTCACATGACTTGAGTCAGGATTGGTTGCCAATTTTAGGACTTTGGTCTTGCTCGGCTAAAATTTTGATCGACTTGGTGTAACTTTTGAACATTTGAAAAGCTGCCTTTTCAAGATAGTCGGTGTGTTATTAGTTTTGTCCATGAAAGAAAATTTCATTTTTACAAGCTTGGCAACCATGGGGACTTGTTTAATTTTTGCCACAGTAACTTGGGAGTTGCGAGAAACTTGAAGGTTAAGATTTAAGACTTACTCAGGACTTGCGTGTGTGACAAACATCCACATTACTGTGAGGACCCTACAGTCGAATGAGATTTCTACAACTTACCGACAACTATATTGCCACCTCTTTGGGTTCTGCTGCCTAAATTGTTGCTTCTCTGTGGGGGTCCTGTCAGGCCAAGCCACACCCCTTGCTCCACACTCTCCTGTTTGACTGACAGCTCGGATCCTCCTGGTTCTTGGACTACTGCCTCTGGATAAACACTCAAGGAGGCCTGTAGATGATAAGATGTCAAGTGGATGAGCAACTGAGCTCTTGGTTTATCAAAGCACAGTAGTACTTGGACTCGGGTGCCCCAAATTTTTCCGAGCTGTTGCTTTTATGAATAAATTGAGTTAGGAGCAACCAATGAAACTCATAAGTCAAGGTACTACTATAAGTCACCAAGAATGATATTTCCGATACCTGTCGGACAAGAAATCCACGGCGACGTTCCTTCATGGCGGAGGCACTGGTGTACAGCTCCCCCTCTCTGGATGACGATAAGCTTCCGTAGTCGAAAGACTTGCTGCGCATTTCAGGTACCTCTGAGGGAAGTGTGTGTGGCGCTTGTTCCGACGAGGACCTCCTCATTTCCCTGTGCTGCTGGTGGCTGGAATGACCACTGCCGGGCACCGTCAGAAATTCAGATGGTTTGGCTCCTCCACCAGAGACTGCGTCCTCCTGTAGGTTCAGTGCAAAAACAAATGTGTTAATTAATCAATGGCTTTGGACCAGTGTCTTGAACTTACTAGTCTTCACGATGTGGTACCTGTTTAGTGGGTGATGCTGTCTTGAAGCCTTCATCTCTGTCAAAAGACATTGAGAGGGAAGAAGAGTGTGACAGATTGCTCTCCTGACTCGGGCTGCGAGACAGGCTGGTGCAAGTGGACTCAAAACTGGACTCTCCAGACGAATGATCCATGTCTGCAAGACGCAGCCTCTTCTTTTTAGGCGGAAGCTTCTCCGAGGGCATCTGGGAGAGGGTGTCACTCCTCTGTGGCAGTTGGAACTCCTCTACATGCGTCGGATGCTTCTCCAACTCCTTGTCCATTGGAGATTCTGAGTCTTTTTCATCCGTTACCCTGATCTCGGGAACTTGGATGTTGGGCTGGCGGACTAGTTTGTGCGGGATGGAGTAAGGCTGTCCAGGTGAAGCTGCTGCCGATGAAGACGAGAGGGAGGCCAAGTCACTGTCGCTCTGCGGCTGCTGATCCATACTCTCGGTTCTCAGTAGGGCCGACTCTGGACTCAAAGCATCTTCAAAGATATCTGAGTCAGACTGTTCCGAATACTGGCTGGACAGGGCTGAAGGATGATATCCTGACTGCTCAAATGACTCTGACTTTTCAAAGGAATTTGGCCGGCTGAGGGAGTTGGTGTGCTGGATGACTGATATGACATTTCCGGCTGCTTTCCTGCATTCTGAGTCGGTAAACAGAGCTATGTCCTCAGAGCACATGCTTGGACAGGTATCGAAACTGTCTGACTGGCTGTGAGCACTCTGAAGAGAACCCTTGCCTGTCGGGGTGCCTCTGGACCCATCCAAACTAACATAGTCTCCTGACATCTCGACTGAACCACTGCAGCTACTGTCGCAGTGATCAGGACTGTCCTCCTCATCCCCAACACTCTTCTCCTTTCGCCTTTTTCTGGTGGCTATTTCTGACATGCTAACTTTCGTACCATATGGGCTATAGCCAATGGGCTCTGCAGTTCCTGAAGTGCGTTCACTGAGCTTCTTCGAGAGAGATGAAGTGAAATTCTTGGCCACGTGTCCAGAGCCCTCCGCGTCTCCTGTGTGGGCTTCATGGGCTAAAAGTTCAACAGCCGCTTGTCTTTGGAGTCGACGAAGTCCCGGCTGGTAAAAAACATCATCTGACATCATCATCTCGTCAAAGGAATGGCTGCCTCGAATCCCCGGGGGGACACTGAGATTCGGAGGAGAAGATGTTGGCATGGAGTTGCTCCTGATAAGAGGCCCTGAATCTGAAGGAGGTTCCAGAAGTCCTGCACTGCTCTGACTGGGTCCGGTTGGATAAAGTTTGGGATCTCTGGACATTCCCACATCCCCTCGTAAACAGATATGATCCTCAGAGATATTTGCCACTGTGACAAATTGCCGGGATCTGGAGTTGGGTCGGTAGTACCAAGTCCGACCAAACATGATCTCCTCATATGTTTTAACATTCGTATTTGGAGGGCTGATCTGCTGGTCTGCGCTCTCAGAACGTGAAAAGTAGCCTGAGTCTGTGCTGCCTTTGCTGTGAGGACTGAGGTGGTTTAGGGATTGCGTTGCAGTGCAATTGGAATCCAGGCCTTTCTTGTCGTTCAGTTTCTGAGCCAAACGTGGTTTGACTGAAGGGGCGTCATCCAGTGAACGCCCTCTTCTACTGGCAAGCGACGTCAACATGTGGTGGGAACCTTTTATTTCCTGAAAGGATGGACACTCCGTCCCTCTGGACTTGGGAACAATCAAGATAGGCACTTTGATGGAGCCCGCAGGAAGCTCTTCAGCTGAGTCTGCATATGCTGGTTCTGCACCACCTACACACAGTGACAGATAGGCACGAGATCATGTATTTCATTAATGAGAATGGGACTGAAGACCAGCAACACTGTCTATGCCAGAACCGAATATGCTTGAACAGATTCAGAACGTAAAACAGTACAAATGCTTCCATTCAACCTACGTGGATTACCATAACCAGGATGACTGAAAATCGCCAAAGACATAACTAGTCCCGATTACCTGTCGTCTTGTCAGCTTCAAAGGAGATCTGCGTGATGGAGCTGTCTTTGTCTGTCAGTATGGTGGCTCCTTCCACTCCTTCCTCATCCGTATCGGTGCTTTGCTCGCCATCGGAGTGGACTTCGGCTTCACCCCCGGGGGAGCCCTGATCCATGTCGCCGCCACGGGAAACGGCCAGGTCCGAAAAGGGCACTAGTCCGGCCTTGATAGCGTGAGCATGAGATTTGCGATGCTTGTAAAGGTTACTCTTAGTTTTGAAGGAAAAACCGCAGGGCACACAAGGGTACGGCCTCTCGCCGGTGTGCGAGCGAATGTGCTTCTTCAGGACGCTGGGCTTGGCGCAGGCTCGGCCGCAGTAGTAACAAATGTACTTTCCAGGTTTTTTGGGTTTTTGCTCCTTTTTGCCATAACACTCATCTCCTGGGTCAGGGCCCGTCTGGGAATACGGTCCAAAGGAGCTTGGTAAACTTGGAGATTTTTGCCGGGGGAACCTCCCTGCCCCCACTGCGGCTCCTAGGGAGTGAGTGTGTCCCGGGTGTCCCACTGGGCACAGTTCGTCTGATGGCAACTGTCCGGCAAAAGGCCAGGCGTGTGCCTCTAGTCCTGGTTGGGGCTTGGCTCCCGAGTGGAAGCGTTCAGTCTGTGGATGCTGAGGGTACGGTTGACCCAGCTGGTAGGAGTACCCCCCCGGAAATCCCTGAGCCAAGGGTCCCTGAGGGTCTTGAGATGATGGCGGGCCTCCTATTGCCCCGACCAACGAAGGTCCAGATAGCAGCTTCCCAGAATTCCCGGTGATGACGTAATTGTGTTGGGGTGCTAATGCCACGTTGGCATCGCACGGTAAACTCTCACGGTGTCTCGCTGTCGGATCAGCAAAAGTGCTTCGCTTGGCGGTGGCGGAGGGCTCGGACGCCCATTTCCTTTGGAGAGGCATCTTATCCTTGGCGGCGTCCTTGTTTGGGCACTGCTGTCTGCCGCCGCCGCCACCGGCAGCAAACTCACGAGCGTCCATTTGTGAGATGCGGGAAGGAGGCAGGAGAAGGGCAACGGGCACACGACTCCTGGAGGCTTACCGAGTCCCAATGCTGTTGGCCATGTTAACCCAACTTTTGACGGTGGCCATTGCAGAACAAATGGAACAGGAAGTGTAAAACAATAAGTGTGAACTTTAGAACATAACATCAGACATCTCTTCCCATTTCTTCTTTTTTATTTTCTGTCCAGTTCATTTGAAGGAAGACACTTCTACAGCTGATCTGGGGCGGGGACAGAAAAAGAACAAGTGTGAAAAATGTTGTCCCTACCATATTGAAAGAATGTACAGCAAACCCTCGCTATTCACATGAAATTGAGTCAGATCACTTGCTTTTTCACTCTTTCTGAAATGCCCTAATATACCACAAGATGGCATAAAAGCCCTGTCTAATTCTCCCGTCATCTTGTGGCATCTTGTTACCAAGGAACTAGGTTGAAGTGGAAGGATGAACTTCTATAAGACAGGCCAAAGCTATGGCTGATATAAAAATGGTGTTCATGCAGTCACCTCTGTATCACCTCTGCAGTTTTACTTGACACCAATTACGACTTTCTTATGATACAAGGCTTTAGCGCCTTCTTGTGACATTTTAGGGCACAGAAAGGGCACAGAAAAATGTGCCCAACTGAGTTTTTCAGTGAATGCCGTTGGTTCTACAACGGTGAATTTCGAACAGGGAACCTCCAAAGAAGGTGGCAGCTCCCCGCAATCATTAATACTAACTTTTCAAAGTGCTTGTCGATGAGGATCCGCGTCTGCCCCTAAAACGCTCGGTCACACCTGCAACGCAACAAAAGCAACTTGATGAGTTTCATCCGCATTTCATGTCACAAGACAACGCAGCAAAAGACTCACAACATTGTCAACAGCAAACTCCCTGCAAATGTGAGCGTGCGGCTTTGGTTTATTTGATTTAAAAAAAAAAATAATTCTTCCACATCCATCCGTGCTTTTTCTTGGTCCGCCACTTGGCCCGCCCACCTGCCTGCCCACCCTCCCTCCACTCGGTGACTCACTAGTGCACAGTATACCCACGCTGTTCCTAAAAAGACACAAAGACCGATATATAAATAGCTCAGAGGAAGTGACGCGGGAGGATCATTGCAAGCGTGTGTGTGTTTTTGTGTGTGTGCGTGTCCCCCCCCCCACACACACACACACGAGAGAAAGCTGACACCGCAGTACATATTTCGATAACAATGACAAAGGATGCGTCACAGAAAGATGTTCTAACAAAGCACAAATCAGCAGGTCGAATTAAGAGCTTTTAGGCCAATCAAACTCCGACAAACGAGCAACTTGAACTCTTTCCATCCCAGCCATTATGAAAAGAAGAGAGTGTCCCACAATCTAGATCCTTCTGAATGATCGTTCAAGGCTCACAGAATATCGCCTTTTATGCCGAAGTCAACAGATAAATTACCAAACAAAATAAGTTGTGTTTTGACCTCATTCAATTTTTAGCAGTCTGCAGTGAAATTGATTTCACCTAAATCACCCATGCTAATACTTTTTCTCAAACATCTCGGCAGTCCTTTTCTTCGATAAAATACCAACAAGAACAATGTATACGTGCAACATATTTACAATGAAAAAAATTTGACATTTGACAAAATTTACAAACAATTTGCACGCTATTTAGTAGTAGTAGTAGTAGTAGTATTTGGTAGTGTGTGTGCCTGCAGGCATACCATGTGTTTGTGTATGTGCGTACATTACATCATCACCTCTATGTCTACATTTAAATAATCTATCATTTTTTGTGACACGCTTCCTGATGTATTGAATGCAACAAACACTTTGATCAATTACAAGTGGTTTGCAATGGTGGCACTTTTGAGACATGACGGCAATTGACGGTGATGGCACTCCCCATTAGGATTCTAGCTTATGGCATTTCATGTCAACTGCGTTCAGAATTAAAGGGGGGAATTTGTAGGAAGAAACCACCGCAACCGGGAAAGAGGTGATCTTTTGCAAATGTGCAGCAATGTTATTTTTGGACAGCGGTGGCTTCCTCTGTGGTGTCCCCCCATGAACTCCATTCTTGTTCAGTATTTAGCATATTGTAGATTCGTCCACAGCGATGTTGCCATGCGCCAGAGATTTTTGTCAGTCTTTAGCTGACACTCTAGGATTCTTCTTCACCTCTCTGAGCATTCTGTGCTGTGCTCTTTCAGTCATCTTTACAGGACAACCATTCCCAGCTAGAGTAGCAACAGTGTGGAACATTTTCCATTTATAGACAATTTGTCTCACAGTGGACTGATGGACATCAATGCTTTTCGAGATACTTTTGTGGCCCGTGCCAGCTTTATGCATGTCAACAATCCTGAATTGCAGGTCTTCTTTATAGGGCAGGGCAGCTTTACCCAACACCTTCAATCTTATCTCAATGATTGGACTCCAGGTTGCTTGACGCCAATTAGCTCATTAGCCTCAAGGTTGATATATTTTTTCCACTCCGCATTGTGAATGTTTACATTGTTTTAATACAAAAAACATGAAAACATATAATTGTTTGTGTTGTATTAGTTAAAGTGGACTGTTGTCTGTCTATTGTTGCAACTGAGATGAAAATCAGAACACATTTTATGACCAATGTTTGCAGAAATCCAGGTCATTCCGAAGGGTTCACATTTTCTTGCAACTGTAAATGAATGATAGTCATCTTTGCAGTCAGTTATTTTCAAATCGGCACATCAGGGTGCCACATACCAACTGGAATGTGTGGAATTCCAAAGACGGAAAAATTGAAACTGTTTTTGTGTGGCATTGTCGAGAGGTGAAAGGAGAACCTGGAGTGGTCGCCAGTCATTGGCAGGGCTCGTGAGGACAAACGATGGAATGGTTGTTAATGTCAGGGAAACATATCAATCAATACGAGACTGGTCGCCCAGTTAGTGGCACCCAATTGCTCCATGTTCCTAGAAATTGTATCCATTGATTGCTGACCGTCTTTTGGTTTCTCTTGGCTACGTGTGTACATGGTTGGTTCGCTGCTGCTCACAATTGAGAACAAAGAAAGGAAATGAATGGTCTCCAAAATGCACCACTCGGGATAAGATTCATGTGACACACACACACACACACACATTCGTCTTTCTGAGTGTGTTGTCGCACTTATGTGGTCAGACACCGTTTAAATGATTAAAAGGCGTTACTAATGCTTTCCATTCACTGATTAACATCGTTAAACGACAAAGGGGGTGGGGGGGGGGCGGCGATGGCACGAGCCAGCGGGGAGCGTCGGAGGGCGTCTGGCATCACATTCTGGCATCGCCTCTCTTTGGCCCGGACTGGGAATCACTTATTGTTCCACTTCATGTTCCAGTTTGTTCATCTTAGAGTGCGTGTGCGCATGCGCGTGACTAACTCACTAATCATCATGTGGCACACAAAAGCACATTGTCGTGATAGAAATGTCAAGTCAGGTCAAAATTTGCTCCATTTGCTTCCATGATACACACACACACACACACACACACACACACACACACACACACACACACACACACACACACACACACACACACACACTGCGCTTGGTGTCAAAAGTGGCACATCTTCATTTTCGCGCTGGGGCGTTCGGGTTTCACGCCTCTGGCACCCCTGACAATTTGGTGACAGAAAGACGAGAATTTAGACAGGCAAAAAGCGGGTCTAAGTTGTGGCGCAGGTGTCGTAACACAATTGGCAGTCAGACAGATTCTGAGCTGCGTGGTGGATGTCATTGTATTTCACCCATAAATATGACAACAGTCACTCCCTGACACACATTGACACACGATCGGGGAGAGGAAAACAGTCTCCACTGCACAGTAACCAACTTTACATCATCCGCAAGTGAAGATCTTCTTTCAGTTCCTGATAAACATGCCAATCTCCAGCATGGACTTCTTCAAGACTGTGTGCCTCTACTGAATTTGAATTTAATCCTGGAGAACCCAAGAACACTTTTCTTCTTTGGAAAATGATAAAATATACATTAAATGACTGCTATATGTTCACTGAACACCAAAATATATGTTTTTCCAAATATTTAATGCTTTAATCCTAATTTGAGGATTCGGGCCAAATTTGACGCTTTGGGATTTAAGGGTAGCATTTGAGCAGCAGAATTTATAGGGGCCAAATTAGACCCCGTGGGTTCCCCAGGGTGAAAGGGAAGAGGGGAGCAGATTCCAGTGGATGGCAAACAAGTCGGCTGTGTTCCCACCCACAACGGCGCAAACGGCTCTTTCGACCTAAGCCCGTTTACCAAAATACCAAGAGCAAGAGAACTCCGTCCATGCGCACAGTTAGATTGCACTTTGTGCTAGACTTGCACTGGCTGCAAACGGAAGGCCCAACGTGTAATGTTCAGTCAAAGCAGAAAAATGGCGCCACGACGGATTGTCTCTTGAAAACCGCCTCACTCATATCTCAAAGCAAGTTGACAAAAAGGAAACATGTGAATGCTCATCAACAACACGTCACCCTTCTTTGAGGGCCGAATCCGACGCATTATACTTCAGGCCATCTTTGTCCGAACAACGTGTGCTTTTTTTCCCTTTTTTTTTTCCCCTCCTCTTGTGGCTGCAGAATTGTGCCTGTGGCCACTTGGTCTTTGAGGGGAACGTCTCCTCCTGGAGAGGAAAATCAAAACATGGTTGGCAGGAGGAAGACGCTCATCATGACAGTCTGCCAAGCAGGCGCCGGCCTGGCCTCAAATAGGCCAAATGTGCTTTTGAATGGCGTCACTTTCACAAAAGAAAGTGCCAGAGTGTCCAAGTATGGGAGTTGCAAACTGGCTGCAGGAGAGAGGAGCTTCATCACCTTTTTTTTTTCTTTTAATCCTAACACCAATCCAATGAAACTAACGCGGCACATCCCAAAATATCCACAGCAATTGCCTGAAAAATTTGCACGTAATTGAGAAAAAGAAAACAAACAAACAAATTCAGATTTGATTCGTAAAAGTAAGTTGCAAAAGATTAAAAAAAAAAAAATCTTGATTTAACAGGTAGGCGCAAAGGAAGTACAGTGATCCCTCGCTACTTCGCGGTTCGTTTATCGCGGGTTCAGTGCATCGCGGATTTTTTCCAAAAAAATAAATAAATAAATTTTAATACCTGTTTATGTTAATTGGACGCGACTTCGCGGATTTTCGTTTATCGCGGGTGGTTTTGATCCCATTGACCGCGATAAACGAGGGATTACTGTACTGTACTCGCCAGTTTGTCTGTCAAATTCAGATTTGGAAACCACTGCTATGACAAAAAGAAGCCCGTAGATGGCAGTGTTGCATCGCTTTGGATTTGAGATCAGCATAATTCTTGAGACCAAGGTAATTAAGCGGTGAATCTCAGTCTGCCACCTTTATGGGAGCGCTAGATATGAACACGTTGGAAGTTGAGGCCGACACTACAAAAAGAGAATAAAATGTGTATGGTGCAAACAGAGGCAGGTAGCAGTGCGTGTGTGTCTTGATCGTGACAAACCGATGACACCGTTGATGGAGTGATTGAATACCAAACGCATGTAAAAAAAAAAAAAGCCACCAGTGTTGAACTCAAGCCATTTTCTGAGTCAGCTTCAATGACGGCACGTTTCTCAGTGGTGCCTTGAATGTAATCTATATTATGTTGCTGTCATCAAAAGGCGAAATCTTGTTTTTGTCGTCGTCGTCACAAACACAAAAATACATTGGTGTCAAAGTCACTGTTCTGCTTGGTATGTTAAGGAATAATGATTCATTGCAAATTATTTTGTGGGGACTTCAGTTTCAAAATCCTTCC